TGCGGCGTGACCATTCCCCCTGGAGGGTGATTTCTCGCTTTCTGTCTCTATGTTTCTCTCTGTCTGTCTGGTGAGTGCACGCGCCCTATAGCGAAAACCTCTCCAAAAAACAAACAAACAAACAAAAAGTTAGATAAAATAATTCCTTAAAAAACACATGCTGGGAGTGTGAGTGTGCATGCCTAAAATCCCAAGAGGAGAATGCAGCAGAAGGGACTGCAGCATGGTATTTCCCCAGGGGTGATTTCTCACTTCCCCTCTGTCTCTCTGTCCCTGGTGAGTGAACGTGCTCTAGGCAAAACTCACAAAAGAATAATCTCTTAGCAACAGCTTGAGTTCAGTTGTCTTCTTATACTTTGGCCAGTTAAGAATTCCAGCACCCTCTAAATGACAAAGGAAATGGAGGTCTATTTATCTTGAAACCGAAAAGTAAGGGGACCCTTTGGATATTTTGGCGTAGAAGCCAAGGTGTTCAGAAATTAAGCTTCAGGCAAATGTGATGTCTCCCGTCATTTTTGATGTTCTGTTTGTACTTGCAACTTTCAGGAGGTTTATTATCCCTCACAACGCAATCCTGCAACTGAGAGGCTCCACCACCAGATGGGGATGAGGCATCTTGGTCACGGCTCCACTATCCAGACTGAGGCATCTGCCCAGCATTTTCAATGTGAGGATGGTCCTTACGAAACACGCTTCAGAAAACAGTGAGATTCTCCTGCGCTCGCACAGCTTGCCAACTACTAGGAATCACAGCTTCAGTACCTTTTCCAGACAACCAGCAGCTCCACCTTTCTGTCCCATTCTGTACCTTATCTTGAAGTCAGATCACTCCGGAACTTCAACAATTCTGGAATTTCAGGCCATTGGACATGAAAAGGCCTTGCAAGTCATCTGAAGCCAGCCCCAGGGCTTTGGCCTGTGAAAATTCTTACTCTTTAGTTTCCTCAAAAACTCTCCTTGTGTTGGGAACCAGCAGTTAGCATAATAGCTATGTCGCTGGACTCCCACATAGTTGACCGCGGCTCGCGTCCTGGACCCGGTGGCTTAAAACTTAAAACTCATGCCGGGCTCATGTGCGTGCGTGCCCAAGATCCTGAGAGGAGAATGGAGGAGAAGGGATTGCGGTGTGTTATCCTCTATAGCAAAAAAAATTAAAAAACAACAACAACAACAACAACAAAGCAAAAACTCATGTTAAAACAAGAGCTTGAGGGACCAGCAGTTAGCATAATGGCTATGTCGCTGGACTCCCATGTAGTCGACCTCAGTTCAAGTCCCTGACCCAGTGGCTTAAACTCATACCGGGCGTGTGTACGTGTGTGCCCAAGATCCCGAGAGGAGAATAGAGGAGAAGGGATTGCAGTGTGGCCATCTCCCCTGGGGGGTGATTTCTCACTGTCTCTCTGTCTTTCTGGCGAGCACATGCACCCTATAGCAAAAACCTCTTCAAAAAAAAAGAGAGAGAGAAAAAAAAAAAAGAGCTTGAACTGGCAAAGTTCCCTTTTGCAGACTACCCCTTATAATAGAAGCTGGTAAGAGACTGAAGCCGCAAGTTTCAAGAGGTGTTTGAATAATGCTTTCATTGGTTCCCATCCTCAACTGCTAGCTTTAGTTTTCTCAGTTTCAAAATCTCTAGATGGAAAGAAGAACTATGTCCTGTGCAGCTAAGCTTCACAGGGAGAGCAAGGTCGTCAGGTCTGATGGAAAGGACAGTACCTGGGAGCTGCCCTCAGATTCGGGGTACCCCACACTGCCACTGCCTCATGTTCATACTCTTGTCATTTGTAGAATGTTCCCCTTTCCTCACGTTCTAAGGGCAGAGATATGAGATTGTAAGTTTTAGGAAAATCCCTACAAACTTAGTGCTGAGTATTCATCTTTGCACTTTCTCCTTTGAGGAAGTGCCAAATCCATCTCCCAAAAGGACTCTCCGAGGTATGCAAGGCTGGTGATGTTTCGGACTGCTCTGAGCACCCACAGATGCTCATCAAACATGGCCCTTCAAAACCTCATTCACTTTTCTTCCTGAAGCAGCAAACCAAATCCTCAGATTGACTTTCTGAACTTAAGATTTAAATGGTGTTATGGACTTAAGGAGGGGCCCCCTCCAAATTCATACGGTGAAATTCTAATCAATGTGACAGTATTAGAAGGTGGGTCCTTTGTGGGTCCTTTGAGACGTAATTAGGTCATGAGCGTGGAGCCCTTGTGAAGGGGATTAGTGCCCTGAAGAGAATTGCTTGCTTTTTTTTTTTCTCTCTCTCTCTCTTTTTTTTTTTTTTTTTTAACTACAGGGCATTTGTGCTCACCAGAGAGAGACAGAGATAAAAAGAGAACAAAAAGCAAGCCGTCACCTGGGATGACAGTTCACAATCCCTTCTCCATTCTCGTCTGTCAGGATTTGGGGCACGCATGCACACCCCCAGTATGTTTTTCGGGCTGCTGGGTCTGGGATTTGAACCATTCAGTGGGCCATGTAGGGTCCAGCTGCCTTAACTACCATGCCACCTGTCTGGCCTGTGTAGTTTCTTTTCTCTGACTTTCACTGAGTGAGGATACAATGTACACGAGGTAGTAGCCCTCATCCCCTGTATACACCTGAAACTACTCAGATCCTTGAGCTACTAAGCTCCCTCATGCCTCTAAGACATTCTCTCCGTCTCCCCTGTCAGGCTGCGGCCTGCCCCGAGAACCATCCCAGAGCAGCCTCCTGGCCTCCTCTGTCTAGTCACTGCTCGTCCCAGGGCCCTGCTTCTTTCCTCCACGGTCCTTCTCACTGCTGAAATTACCTAGGATATTTTTGCGGTTACTTGCCTCCTCTCCCATCAGAACGAAAGCTCAGAAAGGCAGCAGCTGGTCCTCACCACAGGGCCTCGTCAACCAAGCGCAGAGCAGGCACCCCTTACATATCTGGTGAGTCACATGCCTGTGTCAGGGCTTTGCGTCTCTGCCCACAGTCCACGCACGGGCCCAGTGCTGCAGACTAGGAAGGGTAAGCACCTTAGTTTCCCTTCTCCCCCTCTTCCCCTACCTGTACTGCAGGGGAAGGTCCGTTAGTGATGAATGAGTTTTGAGGCTGGAAGCTACAGGGTACAGAATCGTGGGCTGCCGTTTTCTAAGGCCAGGCCTCACTGTTACATAGACTTGTCACATGCCAAATGTCCACCGTCAGACACGCCTGTGAGTATTGCTTGTTACTACCTACAGTCCCCGCTCCCTGCTTCTTCAGTTCTGATGTCCTACGGCTCCCCCTGGAGCCCAGTGACTTCAGGGATTGGGCACTGGAAGCAGAGACTCAGCTCTGAAGCACAGCTCTGCCGCTTACTGGCCACGTGGCCTTATATTCCTGAAGCTTCAACTTAGTTTTATCTATAAAAAGGGAATGATATTAGTACCTACCTCACTGGATGGGTGTGACATTAAATGGATAACTCAAAGAACTCGGTAGAGTGCCTTGCACAAAGCACCCCACAGATAGTTACCCTATCCCTTCCCCAGGTCCTCCCCACTGGTAAATTTCATCTACTTTCATCGGATGTCAGTGTTAGCTCGGGGCATCCACAGCGTTCTGGAATACAGAAAGCCAGCGGGCACACGTTCTCCAAATAATCAGGGCAAGCATTTATGGACGGAAGGATCTCCTCCCACTTCTGTGATTTCAGTACACCGCTCATTACCCAGCCTGCCACCGGACAGCGGTCACCAAGCAAACTCTTTGGGGGTTTTGTTGGATTGAGAGAAATAGGGCTCTAGCCCCGATGGCAGGCCAAGGTTTGTAATCATTTGCAGAATGCTAGAAAACAAAACCAAACAAATCGAGTAAAACACAAAAGAGAGAATTTTTGAAAGGCTTCTAAGCAATGCCAGTCTGATGAGGGGTATGAAGAAAACTCCTCCCTCCTCTTTAATGACAAGACAATGGGCATCAGCTGCCTCTCTCCATGGCATTAGCAAAGTGGTTCTCTTCAAACAGCTCAGTGACGTTAAGGGGGCGTTGCCAAGTTACGGAAGGATTTTCAGCAAGCACACAGTCCCAACTGCGATTTAGACTTTAAACATGAAATGAAAAAAATACACTGTCATACATAAAATCATAGCATGGCTTCTCCTGTACACTTGGCTTATTAGTCACCTGCGAATGTGTCTTGCAAATAAATGAACAAAATCAACCATAAGCCAATGGGGGAGGAGCCAAACGCCAGAACTTGTTTCTGGCGAGCTGATCTACTTGCCTTTGCGCTGGTGGAAATAAGAATCGGGTGGGGTAGGCGTGGGCAGTGGTGCGACAGGAAAACACCATGCTCTGTAAGGCTGGTCCACGTGGGAAGATCCTGGGTTCTGGTCCAGAGACATCCCTGAGGATGCTGGGCATGCGCGAGCTCATGGTCCAAGGCTGACGGAGCCTGGGGTGGATCAGGGAGTCGAACTACAGGAATTGTGTAGTGATTGAAGCCTTTCTGGGTATCTTCTCATTCCCGACCTAATCTGAGCTCATGAGACAATCTGGTTCTGAAGGTAAAGCTATGGTAATGTCTACCTCCCAAATGAGAAAACTGCGGTTTCCACGAGTTGCCCAGAGTCACTTATTAAACACAAGAACCCGCACCCTTTCCTTATTTCACAGCTCAGGCTCGTAAGTTGTAGGAAGCAGAGTTTTACTGCTGTTGGGTTCTCAGTTTAAGTAGTATTCACTGAATTTCTTCTTGGTGCTCTTATTTATCTTAGCACAATTTTCCTTTTTTTTTTTTAAGTTTAAGATTAAATCATAACTTCTCAAATCTCTCTAGGGTGCTATCTCTCTCATGGAAGAAATGCATAAATAAACTTTTAAAAAAATCAGGAGACTGTAAAGAGTGACTGGTGACGATCAGGGAACGGCCTTCACAGAGCCAGGGAGCAGGGACCATGCCTGACGCTGGACCCGGATGCGGCTGTGCCTAGACACGGGGTCTCCTCGCCCTGCAGCAGGTGGAGCGAGTGTGGCCCTCCCGGGGAGTTACCTTCACGAACTGCACATCGCTGAGGATGTGGACCGAGTAGTCGGGCGTGTAGAGGTTGTTGCTGCTGCTGTACAGCTGCGTGTTGCTCCCCCCAAAGTCGCTGCGCTCGCGGTTTGGAGACTCGGAGCGATTCAACCCGCTGCAGCGAGAAGGGGACCGGTTTACTGCAGACGGAGGAGAGCGGGAGGGCGGAGAGGGAGAAAAGACGGGTGGGCGGGGAGGGAAGAGGGGAATGGGCAAAGAGAGGGAGAGGGAGAGAGAGAGGTGTGGTTTACTGAGGCCGCAGGACTTTCAGGACAGGTAGCTGGGCGGTGGAAATGCGCCCCCACACTTGGGTCAGCCCAGGAAGAGCCCATGGCTTTGCTGACGGTTATTCCTAGGAGTAAGTGCCCGAGGCGCCAATCAGGGGTGCTCCGCTAGGCTGCCCCCCACGACCTCTCCCAGCACAGAGCCCGGGCGTTTCCCCCAGAGAGGGCAGAGGTGGTCCCTGCCTTCCTGGGCTCTCGGCTTCAGGTCAGGTGCAGGAGGACCCCAAGGAGGTGAGCACAGTGCACTGAGCAGCGTTCCTCCCCCAGGCCATGAAATCCTCTACCTCGGGAAGGTATTTTACATACACCATTCACAAACCTTCTCATTACTTTGTAAATGTGTGGTACTTTCATCTTATTTATTTTATCTTAGAGCACGTATGCCAGAGAGAAAGAGAAAGTGAGAGCACCCTGGGGGGGGGGGAATGGCCACGCTGTAATCCTTTCTTCTCCAGTCTCCTCTCGGGCTTTTGGGCACGTATGCATATGTACCCAGTGTGATTTTGAAGCCACCGAGCCCAGGACTCGAACTGGTGTCAACCATGAGGAAGTCCAGTGCCTTGACCACCACACCACCTGCTGGCCCCTACAAACCTTATTTAGAAAGGCTATAAGGCCTTAGGTTTGCCCTGGAGGTGACCTGTCACAGGGTGGCCAGCCAGTCCTCGCTGTGGTGACACCTTTTTTGTGGGGATAACTCAGGCCTAGCCCAGGACTGGCAGGGACTGGGACAAGAGGACAGAGGCTCATGTTACATGCATAAATATTTGCGAGCTATCAAGCACACCTATAAACTCTTAAATGGCGCTCTCTCTGTCCTGGACAAATGCGCTTACCTACTCTGCGCTGCTTACTACAAAAATAGGGGACAGGAGGCTGCCAGCCTCTCATGCCAGAGATTTAGTGCAGGGGGTTCAGCTAAGAGTCAGTTCTTCATAGATTCTGCTGGTCCTTGCTCTGGCAAGGTAGATCCTTGGGATTTAATTCTCCTGAGATAATACAGCCATCAATCAAAATATTTGATTAGCATCTATTTGGAGTGAGTCATGAAGGGGTGAAGCTGTGGAGCTGGCAAACCACACAGCAGCAGACAGATTAAAATAACAATAGGGTGAATCATTTTCTCATTAGAACAATAACCACATTTAATAATCGTTGCCTTGATATGATTGTAGAATTAAGGATTCCACTTTCTGTCTTCCTTTTCTGTTAAATGCCATTCATTTATATGCTGCTATTTATTATTTATTATTATTAAATTTTTTTTTTTTAGGTTTTTGTCATAGGGCACATGTACTCACTGACGGGGAGAGAGACAGAAAGAGACAGAGAAAGGGAAAGTGAGAAATCACCCCCTGGGGGGATGGCAACTCTGCAATCCCTTCTCTTCCGTTTTCCTCTCGGGATTTTGGGCATGCATGCACACACGCTCGGCGTGATTTTCAAGCCATTAGGCCCGGGAATGTGGGAATCCAGCAGCCTTAACCACCACGCCACCTCTGGCCTCAGTTATTACTTTGTGTTTGCCAGAGAGAAAGCACCATCCCATGGGGCATGGCCATGCTGCAATTCCTTTCTCTGTTTCTGCAACCTGTTGGGGTGTGGGGCATGTACACACGCCTGGTACGCTCTTCTAGCTGCTGGGGCTGGGAATTAAACCACGGTTGGCCATGTGGAATCCAGCTCCCTTAATCACTAGGTTACAGGGCCAGTCCTACACACTGTGACTTAACCAGAGACTGGGGTCACCCTTGGTGCTTGCTACTCAGCTCACATCAAGTTGCGTTAGCTCCCCTCTGACGTGACAAGCCCATCTAATCTACTGTCACGTCTGAGCTAGCATTCTCAGCTGGACTGTCGTCTAGTTTCTCTACACACATACACATATAGTAAGTTTGTGTGTGTATACACACACTCACACACACACATACACACACGTCTATATACATCCCCCATCCCAGGTATCCACCTCCTCATCCTTATGTCACAATTCAAGATACATTCCAGAAGGATGACAGAAAATTGAGCCCTGTCTTTTCTACTAAGCTGCTTCCATCCACAGATGCTTCTGCTGAAATATACATGTACACACACACACACACACACACACACACACACACACACACAAACACAAAGACAGGGCCTTGCTGTTGGAATCCTCTCGCTTCGGCCTCCTGAGTAGCTGGAACTACAGGTGCCTGCCACCATGCTCAATTTTTTTAGGACAGCCAGGAATCAAAGCCACACCTCCTATGTGGACTCAGTTTGCTAAGAAGCAGCATCAACCAGCACTAGCAATCATGGCTTACAATCTCATAATCTGTTTTTGCCTCAGCTGCCAGAAGCATTTTTAAAAACACATATTGAGGGCAGCAGGTGGCCTAGTGGTTTAGGCTCTGGACTCTCATGTGGTTGACTGCAGTTCAAGTCCTGGATCCAGTGGTTTGAAACTCATGCCAGCTGTGTGTGTGTGTGCATGTGTGCCCAAAGTCCCAGGAAGAGAATGGACAAGGGACTGCAGCGTAGCCATCCGTCCTGGGGGTGATTTCTCATTTTCCTTTTGGGGCTCCTTCTCCTCTCCTGCCTTGCTCTAGCACACCAGCCTCCTTGGGTCTCCACAGTCATGCCGGCTTCCTCCCACTGCAGCAGATGCCATTTCTCCTGCTCCCATCTCCCTACATGGCTGCTTGCTGCCCAGTCACTCAGGTCTAACCGAGACACCCTTCTCTGAAGACCTTGTCTGACACCCTAAGAAGATCCCCCTTGTTTTCTTGTTAGGTCATTAGCAACATCAGGACATATTTTCCTATGATTTTCCGTGCAATGACCCACTATATTGTTCCATGTTCATTCCTTCAAAATACTTTTCATGAGCTTTAATTAATTACGCATTTGCACTTATTTGTCATGGCTACTTAATTCAATTCAGAATTCCACAAGGGCAGAGCTCCCGCTTTCTGGTCCTCGCTGTGTGCCTAGGACCTAACACAGTGCCTGGACATCGAGCAGAGTAGGTGCTCAGTAAAAGCGCAGAGGATGAGTCAATCCCTGCCCAAGGGTCCCACAGCAAGTTTTATATAGAATCTAAATTTTGTTTAAAAAATGGTTTCAGAGCGATTCATCATCCTGGGATCAGAAAGCCTGTCCCTTGCCACCTAAAGATGTTGTTGGGAAAGGCTGGGATGAATGCAGGACCCTGCGGAAATGTAGCTGGGGAGAGTTAACTGCTGTAACCAGAACCAGAGTGTACCAAGTAGCCTCAGGCCTGGGCCCAGTGGCCAAGGAAGAGGTCACAGGGAGCTTCAGGACTGTCTGTCTATCTTTCGAGTAAGAGCATGTGAGACGGAGGTCCTGGGGTCAGGTGTCTAGGCTCCTACTGACCCACTGGTGGTCAGGACCAGACCCTTCTCCAGAGTGACCAAGGTCTGAGAGGGACAGCGAGGGTGCCACAGAGAACAGAGTGGAACACCAAGGTGTTTATAAATGGCAGTCGCCTTGGGCAAAAGCAGGTGTATTTCATTTCTTGTTCTGGTCCTTGGAACACACACTGGTAAGTTCTGGCTTGGTTAGATCCATTGGTGGGTGTTCTAGGGCGGTGGCTGGCTAAGAAAGCAGAAGTCCTTTCCTTTGGGCTAGCTACTGGGGAAAAGAGGGGCAGGCAGTCCTCAGGGAAGTAGCTTCTTTGGCATGAGGGTAGAGTCTGGAAACCAGACTAGTGAAATCTTGACCTCAACTCAGTTTAGACAAAACGAGGGGACAGAGTGTGAGCACGGGGTGTAAAACAAGTATGGTATGACTTCTGTTTTAACCCTGAGCCTTGCCTGGCTGGACACAGGCTTCGCATTCCCCATCCCAGCTGTCCACCTCCTCGTCCTTATGTCACAATTCAAGATACATTCCAGAAGGATGACTGGAAACAGAGCCTTGTCTTATCTAAACTCCTTCCATCCACAGACGCTTCTCCGGAATCATTTCCACTCTCTATTGTTGGAAGCATAGGCCACCGCCACCTCGCAGTTGTCCCCAAAGCTCTCGGCATGTCACTGGCACCCAGTGTGCACATGCCATCATGCTGTCACTCGCAGGAACTCATATGTCAAATATGAGTCCACGACCTTATCACCGTTGTGCTGGGAGGAGATGTCTTTTCCTTTCTTTAAGCAAAAACAATGCTATTGAAGGTTTATTTGTAAAACCCTAAAGAGGGGGCCAACAGGTGGTGTGGTGGGTAAGGCACTGGACTCCCACGTGGTTGACTGCAGTTGCAGTTCTGGACCCAGCGGCTTGGAAATCATGCTCGGTGCATGTGTGTACATGCCAAAATCCTGAGAAGAGAATGGAAGAGAAGGGATTGCTGCATGGCCATCCCTCCTGGGGAGTGATTTCTCACTTTCTCTCTCTTTTTCTCTCTGTCTCTCTCCATTAAGCTCACACACCCTATGGCAAAAACAGAAACAAAATCCCTAAAAGATTCCCAACACCAGAAGATACAACTCTTTAAAAAGTTGGCTCTATAAAAGCAATTTTTGAAAGAAAAAGGAATCCTTATTCCGTGACATCTGAGTATTGTGCAAGACCCAAGTTTTTGTGTCCCAGAGTCTGACATTCCTCAATAGGTAGGATGCTGATGACTCGGCATTTTGGTAACTGTGCGCATATACTCAGAGCTTTCTGAGCAAGGGAAATGGAAATGATTTTAGTAAAAAAAAAAAAAAAAGAGAGAGAAGAAATCAGTAACAGACGAGTGTCCCAGCAGCATGGCAAACTAGTTCAAGTTGTGTAACTCCCCTTGGCATTTCCTAAGACGCAGAGGCACAGCTTGGGGAGTGGAGTGAGGAGGCAAACCCCAGAGGCCT